AATAATAATAATAGTGACATTTCTGAAGTATAATATACGCGTCGACAGAGATAATAATATGAAACTGTGTAGATATAAGTATATAGTATATTAGTATATAGGTATATTGGTATATATATTTTTAAATCAATTTAAAATCTATACAATTAATGTATAATGAGTAAATCATTCTGATGTAATGTAATACAAAAAAAGAAAATAACGATGAAAGACGGAAGAGGTTTTTCACATTAGAAACACCAGTACACGAGTGGCAGTATAATTATTAAATTTAATATATAAATTAAACATTTAAATAATCTCTGAGCCAGTTCCGTTTGAGGTATCTGGCTGAATTACCAGTATATTTTATGCACATTATTTTAAAGAAAACATAAAATTATATGTGGTTGGTAAAATTTAAATGTGTACCTACTGTATTAAAATTGTAGGTTAAACACAGACACACAAATAACTTGAATGTGATTTACGAAAAAAAAAGATTTTGTTGTTACTCTTAATTATTATAGTTATTACAAATAAGGTCTAAATAAATAAATTTCATTACGTAAACTATACAAATTATAATTATTTACAATTCTTCAAATATCTATTCATATTTATATTTATTTAAGTCTCAAGAGCATTTTTTTTTTTATTGGAATACAAACATTATTTTACTGAAAACCCATATACCATTCTATGGATAAATGAAATTCAAATGTTTTTATTAAAAGACATTCAAACAAATAATAATGATTTATCTTTGAACGGTTTTTGTTATTTTAAACTGTTTTAAATAAAATATTTTTATTGATTTAATTGTTAGATATTTTGATATTTATAAACAAAATGATTTCATATTTTATTAAAATTGAATTAATTATAGATGGTTTTCAAATAATGATAACTTAAAGCTGCTTAATAGAAAATTATCTACATAATAAATGAAAAGCCGAATTAATCATATTAGATTCTTAGTAATCTGGCAATATCGGACCAGAGTACTGATGGATTAACGAAAACGACATTATGGAGGTTTATAATATATAATAACCCATTTTTCTTATTGAAAAGCTTTAATTTATTTTTTTTAACATGTAAATGAATTCATATATACTAATCTATTACTTCTTTTAACGGGAAAGGTCTAAAAAAAATTTTTTTTTTTTGTTCGAAACGATACTTGACTATTTCATATAGGTAGTCATGTTATACCAGATTATTACACGGTCAGATTAATAGGTCTATTATACACATTTTTTTATAATCATCAGGTTATTAGGTGTACTAATATAGATTTTTGTTTAAAAATTTAAATAATGTCTCAAGATCTGATAGTTTAAGAGTAAAATTCTTTTTTTAAAGTATCTAAGATTCGTTTTTAACAAATATTAATAACCTTTAAAAAATAAGACAGATTCTACCTTATAATTCTGACAGATTAGGTTAGATAATTGTCTTTTGAAAGGTATCTGTAAGTGGGCGATTTTCCCAATGAAACTCTTGTTAAGTTTTTTGAATAAACGATGCACTTAACGACCAATGGGTTATACTACCTCCGGTGAATTCCCTTTCTGGTTGCTTTGGTACGATTTAAAAAAAAGTGCATGCCTCATATCCAACAGCCAGTGGTTTAAATTTCTAAATATGCTATAAGTGCTTTTATTAATAATCGGTAAGATAACATGAAAAAAATCATAGCGCTTTAATATTATTATTATCATATTATGATTAATCACCTTAGAATAACCATCATAACATAACTTTTTACGGGCGGGACCATTTTCCTCCAAAAACGAGATACCGTTTTCCTCCACTGTCCATTTTCCGCCAAAAACAAAAAAGGTTGGTTTCCATTTTCCTCCACATTATTTTTGACTAAAATTATGTCTATTTTCCTCCAATATTTAGTCAGTGTTTTTATTATAAAAATAGAGTATGGCTAGATTACATTTTGCGCGTATTTGTTGATTAAATTCTTGTCGCGTTTTTATCGGCTAGGGAAAAACGCTAGTCCAAGTGTTCCACAGCACACGCGGTTTATAACAGTCGATTTTAACTTTGATTAAGCCTAATAAAGATACGTACAAACAACATATGGGTATATACGTATATATTTATATTGTGTATCATCAATACAATTGTCACTGATTATTATGATTAAACACATTGAGATAAACAGACACACGAATATACTAAATACTCGTATCAATAAGACTATATTTTTAGTAGTTTACCCGACTTTACCGTACGCCGATAGTGTCTATTACGTGTTTTATAGTTTAGCAAGTTTTAATTTTTAACATGTCTGAAAAAGCGACGTTCATTGAAAGTTCTCGAGGAAAACCTTTGATAATTCGTGATAGTTACAAGTATTTCTTAGCATATAAGTTAAAATCTGAATTATCACGTTGGCGATGTTGTTTAACGACTTGTCAAGCAGTTATATACACTGATAAAAATGAAGAAATAGTAGCCGATGAGTCACACAAAAATGTACATAATCATTTGCCATCGCCAAAAAAAGTAAATCGACAAATAGTGAATAATGCATGTAAGCGAAAAGCAATTGACGATTTATTTTCACGACCGAAAAAAGTGATACTTAAGGAATTAGGACAAAGTTCTGCCGACTGTTCAAATTTTGATGATACCGATATTCATAAAATCAGGAAAAATATTTATGCTGCCCGTCAATCTTTGCTGCCGAACCTGCCGAAAAATGTTGAAGAGGTACATTTAACAATCAACAATATGGATATTAAAACTACTTCTGAAGAACAATTTTTACTAGTTAATGATGATAGTAAAAATGTGTTAATATTTTCTTGTTACCAAAACTTGAAATTTTTATGTGAATCTGAAAATATTTATTGCGATGGTACATTTACATACAGTGCTAAACATTTTAACCAAATGTTTACAATACATGGCTTTAAAAACGGACATTATATACCTGTTGTGTTTTGTCTTCTAGTTAATAAATCCACTGATACATATATTAATACATTTAACCATATTATACTTAAATGCATTGAATTAAAATTGACAATAAACCCAAAATCAATCACAATTGATTTCGAGCAAGCTATTCATGATGCTGTTTCTATAGTATGGCCTGATACACTAATAGTTGGCTGTAGATTTCACCTGACACAATCATGGTTTCGGAAAATCCAAAATCTCGGTTTAGTTCAATACTATAAGGAAAAAAACTCTGAAATTGGGTCTTGGATAAGAAACACGTTTGGACTCACATTTCTAAGTCCACAAGAAGTTTCCAAATGTTTTATTGAAGATTTTATGAGTATTATACCAAACGATCAAAGAGTGAGTCAGTACGCTGATTATTTAACTGATACGTATATTTCGGAAAATTCTATATTTCCGCCAGTTATTTGGGCAGAATCGTCTTCTTCGTTATCAAGAACCACTAATGCATGCGAGTCTTTCCACTCTCATTTCAAAGAAAACTTTTATAAAGAAAAGCCTAATATATTTATGTGGCTTAATATCATAAAGCAAACTCAAACAAATATTTATTGTAAAATGAGAAGTATACATGTTCCAAAAAAATCAAAGGATTACCGAGCAAACAAGCGTCGTGGAGCAATCGACGATGCAATTATCAAATTACAAAACGGAGAAATGTCTAGGTATGTACCTAATTACAAAAAGTGAAATAATTATTCATATTATATCTAATTTTTATTTTCTTCCAACAGGTATTCATTTGTTGCTGAGATGTCTTATAATTATAAAAAAATGTAATATTATTTACTGCAGTGATTTTACTATATTTTATATCTTTTATTTTACATATTATATTATTAACTAATTTTTTATTATTATTTTATTTATTAATTGATGCATTTTTATTGACGTGAGTACTTTTTATTATATTATTTCTCTTTTTAGCCACCTGCCAAGTTCAGCGCGTACGGTGTATTATTATATTACAATTATACTTTAAAATTTAAATATTTGATTTGTTATTTTTTTTTTTTAATTTAATATTTTGATAAAGAATGACGATTTTATTATTTTATTTATTGGAGGAAAATGGAAAGTGGAGGAAAATGGTCAAAAAATTTTTTTTTCTTTTTTGGAGGAAAATGGACAGTGGAGGAAAACGGTATTTTGTTTTTGGAGGAAAATGGCTACGGCCCTTTTTACAACCTTTATTTGGAATTATTTACCCAATGTGTATGACTAATGATTATATATTATTTTTCAGTGCTCAAATAATTAAAATTAAGATTTTGGAGTGTAAGCAGTACACAATAAACATTGGATTTTCAAGTATTATTTGTTACATAATAATTGTATGAAGTTGATTTTGTGATGGTTTAATGTATATCAAAATGATATCATTTTGTATCTACGCTTAACACATTTTTTTTTCGTACATAATTTATTTATATAAAAAATAGGTACATCATATTTAGATCGATTTCTATTGAAATTAAGATTTTAGCTTAATAATTTAATTATAATTATCAATTTTTTAAATTTTTTTTATTATTAGTCAGTTATGACAACTCAATATATTTTATTTTAGTAATACACAACTATGATAATAAAGAAAGAAAGAAAACAAAAACATAAATAAAATATTAAATAACGAAACTAGTTTCCAGTATGAAATTAATTATAATCTTTTTGATGACCTCAGCAGATTTAATGGTAATAGATTGGAGGGTATGTTACGACATTTAAGGTAATTGAACAAAATGATATGTTTAGTATGTAAAGAGGGACAGATAAAGAGTAAATGAGAGAGATTGCTGAGACTTGAGTTAAGTGAAATGTGCAGAGAGGGAGTTATATAAACCAACTTTATAGACATGATATTCGCTAAAAGTGAATAACCCACGAGAAGTTTTGGTTTAAATGAGCAATAGTAGATTTTGGTAGATCTAGTTATTGAACTAAGTTTTTTTTTAGTTAAAATGTTGAGAACAATACCTAGTTATGTATTTGGTAATAAAGTTGGCTGGCAGAATTATCAAATTTATAATAATCTTTTAGTTACACATTATGGCTTGACCTTTACATTGACTTATTTTATAATAATTCGAAATAATTTAAATAGATAAAAAAAAAAAAAAAACATTTCACTCCTTAATTTATTGAAATTTCTTAGCACGATCTTGCTTAAATAGATACCTAATGTATATGTTGGGTATAATAATATTAGTTCCACATTCATTTATACATTTTACTGTATATTTTTAAAAATGTATTAATTATCAAATAATAATTAAACCGTTAGTAGACAGTGTTGAGTCGCTTAAATAATAATAATAAAAACAAAAATTAAAAATTTGTTTGGAAATTTGTTTATTGTCATAAACTATAGCAAAATTTTACTCAAAATCATACATTAAAACTATTATAAATTACCTATGATTTAAAGATTGTTCACCGTGCTAGTTGATTTTTTTGTAGGGTTTTTTCCATGTACTTTTTCCCTTTGTTTTTTTTCACGATTTACTTACTAGTGGCCGATAGGTACTAACAGCCATATTATTAATATTTACTTGAATACTTACATTATACATTAACCGTCATCAGTTGTTAAAATCTATATAAATTATAATTAATAGTCACCCATAGGCGATAAGTTATATTGTTAAACCATAAAATAATGAAAATTCCATTTTCATTAATATTAAGAATTATCAACTATCAAATGACGTTTTTTGAATGTGAGAAAATAAATTTTAAAAGTTGATATTTACTAAAGACTTATAAATTAATGTAACAGAAAAAAATATAATTATATAACTTTGCTTTTTTATTATTCTATCTGTCAAAAATAGATCTATTTTAACTAATCAACGTCACAGTGGTAGCGTGGCCGAGCGGTCTAAGGCGCTGGTTTAAGGCACCAGTCTCTTCGGAGGCGTGGGTTCGAATCCCACCGCTGCCAGTTGATTTTTATATATTATCTCTCAAATTAAAACGTGTTTATATGTTGTAAAAATATAATATTATTTTATATTATTATTATTATTACAGTTAACTTGGTCAATATTTTATTATTATGTTGTATAATAATAATATATATATATATAATTCATAACATAATCAATGTGCTCTAAATATATTTTTAATTAACATGTAATAAAAATTAAAAGTATTACTAGGTAAAATATATAAAACTATAAACATTAAATTAAATAAATGCTAATTAATACGAATTGAATAATTACTACTTAATGTTTTGAATAAAATTTGTAAACAATTTAAATTAGATTCTTATGGTAGATATAAATAATATAATTAAATAGATGATTTTTAACTTTTAAATCGGTTATATGCTAGATGGGAAAATTTCCGAAGAAAAAACATCAAAATATTGGTGCCCCTCCCTTCTTACTAAGACCTATCCCAAATTATTACATCACTACGTAAGCTTTAAGTAACGCTGTGTTGCACGTATAGAGAACGAGCGAGAAACCCTACAGTGCTGTAGTATTAACTATTAAGGCAAGTGTACCTAATAATAATAATAAATACGTTATATATATTAAATTGTACCTGCTTTTATGTAATGATAATGTACACAGCTCGAAGAAGAATTTAGCAAAGCTCTAACCATAAAAAAATACAATTTTAAAATTCTAAAAATGAATAATCATTGCTCTATATTTACAATCTAGGCTACCATTATTTTTAAATTTTAATTTTAGAACTTAATATCTTTTGATTTTAATTATTAATGGTTATAACTATGGTTAAAATTAACAAAAAAAATCACTTCAGTCTCCGGAATGAAGTTAAAAAAATATAACGAACTCAATAATTGGTAGTAGGTACTAGAGTGTACTAAATAAAAATAAAAAGGTCATTTAATACTGATTTCAGCCTTCAAGTCATAAATATTCAAACCAACCAAAAATCAGGTAAAGTAATAAGTTAATATCAAAAGAGATCTACACCAAAATAAATCATAATACTAACAATATTAATAATAATAATATAGTTAATTTATTCTGATATAAAAAGTTAAATTAATACAATTTATTTGAATTAGTTGAATTGTATACGATGACATTTGAAGAATTAGCCAAAAATTTAGTTAATGAAAACAATCAATAAAAAATAGTCAATCAAAACTAGAAACTATAAAAACGTTATCAACAGACTTAAAATATCGGGCATAGTTATTTCCTCACGACGGTTGCACCTAATCGACTAAAGTAGAGCTCTTTCATATCTAACACGTGTAACGTGCAGACCAAGCAAGTAGGTAATAACAATCAAACAATAAAATTAATTAGTAGGACGTGTTCAACACGCTCACGAATGAGAAATAAAAATAAAATAGCATACTTACCCGTCCGACGAATGCTATACAAAATCTTTTAAATAGCTCGAATCGAAAAATAGCGCGAAAAAAAATTATGTAATAATAATACAATAGTGTGATGGCGGTGCGTAAAGATGACAATTTAGTCGTCGTTTGCGGTCGGAGCGCAAAAAGGGTTATCTAAATCTCCATTTATATATATATATATATAATATAGTGATATAATAGGATTGATACGGAACCGGGCCGAAGGGTAGGTAATATTTTATGTTTTGCGTGCGTGTCTGTGTGTCGACCGCCGCGTAAAGGGAAGAAAGCAATGGAAAAAAATACACACACACACACACATATATAAGTATATATAGTATATATATATATGTGTATTTATTATGTACACACGCCGTTATACTTTACTTACTAGTCGCTTACGACTATAACTATATTGTATGTATACTACCGCTGCCGTTGCTGTTGTTGTCGTCGTCGTCGTCGTCGACGTCGACGTACCAGCACTAACGGGAGCGGCGGCAGCAATGAAGACGCGCTCGTCCGGGGCGGTGCGGGTGGGCCGCCGAGGCTGTGCGTGTACCCGAGATAAGCCCGTTACCATATAATAACGATTTCTTAGCGTTATATCATAATAATTCGCCGTGGAAGATTCCGAGACTCGTATAATGCCTTCGGGCCCGTAAATCTTAACTTTGGGGGGGGGGGGAGGTACGCCGCTGTCGTGGTGGCTGACTGGCTGGTGGATGGGCGGGCGGGTGGTCCGCGCGTCGCGTATATATAATATTGTAAAGGTGTGGTGCGCGGAGGAGGACGCGCGGACGGTGGAGATGAGGTGCCGTGGCACGGAGGGTGGTGCCCGAGGATTAAAGATTAGTAATCTTAATGTTGGCTGCCGGTTGAATTATAGCTTTCTCGCGCGCTTTATATTATTATTATTATTATTATTATTATTTGCGAGCTTTCTGCCGCCATACTCACTTTATATATATAAATACACATATACTGCGGACCGTAGTGCGAAGAAGAAGAGTTTGTACACGTTATACGCGACGGCGTATATAATATTATACAATAAATATATTTTATATATATTTTCGCTGTTCCCGGTAAAGAGCTTTATTCGCTTGGCGTTCGAGCGAAATTAATTTTGTCACTTTTTAGTAACTGTTTAATATAAGGATATCGTGGAATCCTCCACCCTTTCATCACAGTCTTTGCTTTTATACATCTTTTACGCAAACCAAACTTTCGAAATCGACAATAGTATACGTAGCAAATGTTCCGTCGGACCGTATTGTAGTTTGCCATCGCAAAGTTTTAACATGCACATCACTATAATATTGTACAACACGCCGCTATATCAAAATTAAATTTCATATAAATATAACAGCTAGGTACAATGATATTTTTTACACAAAACAAACTTAAATTACCTATTTTAAAAAATATTTGTATTTAA